GACGGAAAAATATTTCAAACAGAAAAGCTTACTTTAGCCTTCGGCTCTGATGAGGTAAATAAATCATTGCAATGTCAAAAATTGAAAATTAAAATGAAATTTAAAATATAACACTGTAAAAAAAAACTCTCAAATTTATAATATTGGGACCTTTAACCTCCCATGTTCCGAATTAAACAGGGTCATTTATTCAATCTCTGGAATAAATAGACAGGACCAGATGAAAAACTTACGCGAGAAATTTGTAAACGTGTAATGATTTTTCAAAAGCACACAATTTTCAATTTGCACTTCCATTATTTTAGTTGTATACAAATCATTCCTCATAATGATTACTATCTTTTTTTTTTTTTTTTTTTTTTTTTTTTTTTTTTTGGTAAAACATTTTTCCTTTGATAAGGACAACTTTTGCACTCTTTTCTTTATGCGTAGACGTTTTAGGCCTCGTTTAGAGTAATTATGAATAAATTGTAAAGATATCTAACAGTGATCATGCTCAAAAGTCCATTTAAACAATACAAATTGTGAGTAGAGCCAATGCAGACCTCTGAAAACAGAGGTGGGATCAGGTGTCATGAACTAATAAACACGGTCACATGATTCAATCTTGTTCTAGTAGTAATTTCGATATTTTAATGAAATTTGGCAACCAAGAGTAGATACAGTATTTCAATCTTTTTTTAAAGTATTAACTGAACTTTTTTAAATGCTTTATTTCTGTGTACTTAACACAGTTAATACATATATAAATAAATTGCAAAGAAAATTTTAATACACACACCCACTTCCACTCTTCACTCATACTTACATAAACAATATTTAATATTTTAGCCATATTTACAAGCTATATATAGATAAACAAATTATATACAGCCTTTATTTCTTAATATTCATCTTTTTTTTTTTCTTAACAAATAGTTTCCAACATATGCTTCCACTGTGTTCAAACAGACTCAAATTTATCAGGAGTTGAATTTTTAACAGATATGTATTTTTCCACATTATAGTATACTTTTAAATAGGCTACAAGTCCAGTTAAATTTGGCATTTTAGCATTTTTTAAACAATGAAAAATATACTGTTTAGCATATAAAATTATAAAATTTATAACATAGTTTGAGTTTGAAAGAGGCAACTCTCCAAAAATTACATTTTGAACATTAAAACCTATATGTTTTGATGTATAATTATAAATTTATAGACTGTATATGTAATACATCTTTACCCATAAAAAATACATGCAGAATGGTTTCGCATTCATTACTACAGAAAATACGAAAATACGAATATCATTTTCTTTTCTTTTAATTTTTTAAGATAGTGATTTACAGGTAGTATTCTATGTAAAATTCTAAACTGTAACCATTGGACAACAGAGTTTGAAGATACAGTGAACCTTAAAGCACACTTTAAAGATATCTTTCAATTCCATTTCTTGAAAGCCCATCAAAAGCATTTCTGAATTCTATTTTGAAAACGCAGTAGGCTTTACAATTTTTGTATTAATACTTTTATAGATATGTTTTGTACATTCATCAGTAAAAATCAATTTTTTTAGATAACAATGGTACAAAAAGACGTTTTAGCTTTATAAAAATTTTCCCTGGATAATTTCGTCTCTTTCAAAATAAAATTCGAAATAGCACTAATAATACTGTAATATTGCATCAGACTATTGCATAAAAAAAAAACATAATGGATTTTGTATTTTTCCATAAAACTTTTTCTAGACAAAATTGATCCATTGATGTCTAAAAAATCATCAATAATTTTCGCACATATTTGTACCACTATTTTTATTAGTCCCCTACTGGTGAAACCGGAGGGGACTATAGGTTTCCACTGAGTCTGTCCGTCCGTCTGTCTGTCTGTCTGTCCGTCTGTCCCTCTGTCTGTCTGTCAGTCTGTCCCACTTGGTTTTCCGCACTTTTTTCCTAAACGCTTGCAGATATTGAGCTGATTTTTGGTATGTGGGTGTATCTTGATGACTTACAGATCAAGTTTGCATTTCGTTCCTCTTCATTGATTTTTGACGGAATTACGGCCTTTTCAATTTTTAAGGGTTTTCCGCAATTTTCTTCTAAACGCTTTCAGATATTGAGCTGATTTTTGGTATGTGACTTTACCTTGATTAGTTATAGATCAAGTTGGCATTTCGTCCCGCTTCATTGATTTTTGACGGAATTATGGTATTTTCAATTCTTAACGGGAACCAGATTACACTTACCGGTAGGGGACTAGTATTGCTAATGCAATACTCTCAGAATGCTTGTTTACTTTGATACAAGAGTTGAACCACACTGGGGCTGATAAAACATCAGAATGTGTAAGATTTGACTTGTCAAAACAATCAGTGATAACCAATAGCCAAGACTCTAAAACATCTCCCAAAAATTTGTTTTTTGTACATTTCAACATTTTAACACAAAATCATCACCCATATTCAATAACTTATCTACCACATTTTGTCCATATACTAATTCAAAAGTACTCTACCATGAGTGGTTTACTTTAATAACCCTTTAAATCCATGAACATTAAGAGATAATATGAAATTTTTAAGATTTACCATATTAAGGTCCCTCCCCCAGTATTAACTGAACTTGTTATTGCATTGTTTACATGTAATACTGTTACATGAAATATATGGAGATAACGAACAGTATTCAAGCTCAAAAGTCCATTATACAATACAAAATAGGAGCAGAGCAAACACGGACCTCCAAACATCAGAGGTGGGATCAGGTGCCATGGAGGAGTGAGCATCCCCTGCCGACCGGTCACACCCGCCGTGTGCTCCTTGTCATGATCTGGAAATAACGGAAAAATCCGTCGACAATTCAGTGTGTAAATAATGGCCTAACAATTAGTATGAAAAATGTCAGTCAGCATTTGACTTAATGATAAATTATATTTGCTGACAAGGTCATTGTATCGACCATAGAACTTACGAAATGATGACTTTAAACGAGACAGCTGATATTCTTGTTTCATCAACTTATTTGTCAATAATTTACCTCGTTTTAGAAATTGTACATACGTAGGAGCATGCTCTTGCGTATCGAATCAACTGAGAGATATATACCCCGTATGCAGGTGATGAAGGTATATTGCTGCATAAGTAAGGGAAGTTGACGATTGAAAAGTTAAAGTCCTCAAGTTTATCATAAAGCTTGGTTGTTCGATTACCATTAACGTCTTTTCAAGTAAAATATCCAAATATGAAACAGATGTGTCAGACTCTGTGGTATCTTTTATCTCAAGTTCACCAGGATATATCGTATCGACATAAGAATGAAAATAGCCATTGTTAATTGACAGTACGTCGTCGATATATCTAAATGTCGAGTTGAAGGCCACAGCAAGTGTTTTCTTCTTTTCACGTACAAGATTTTGGACAATTTCTGCTTCATATGAATACAAAAAAAGGTCTGCTAATAACGGGGCGCAATTGGTACCCATAGAAATTCCAATAGATTGTTGGAAGACCTGGTCTCCAAAAACCACATAGATATTGTCAATCAGAAACTCAAGCATCTTTTTTATGTCAACTTCAGAGTACTTGTGTGTACAATCAGAATGTTTTTTAACAAAATAATTTTGTAAATGACCAATGACAAGGTAAGTATATTTATGAGTTCCATTTTTATTGAAAAAGCAGCTGTCAATGATATCAAAAAGCCTGGACTTTAATTTATCGTGGGGAATGGTTGTGTATAAAGTTGAAAAGTCGTAAGTTTATAAGCTGTTGATTTTGGAAAAATCTTGTGATTTCAAATTTTCCAAAAGTTCCTTGGAATTTTTAAGTATCCACATCTGATTTACACCACTTTTCGAATATATTGTTGTACAGTACTCTTGAAGTTTCTCCTTCACCACTGTTAATATCTTAGTGAGGAGTAAAGATAGAGGCTTGGTTGAACATTTACTGGAACCCGCTATGTATCTTTGTTTGTAAGGATTTTTATGAAGTTTCGGAATCCAATATAAATATGGTAATTCGAATTCATTTTGGTTGTTTGGAATATTAAAAATATTCAAAACTGACATATGATTTTGAAGAATTTCTTCCTTAGAAAGGGAACTATGAGTATAAGTTGGATTACCACTTGTAGAATTAAATCCAAGTTCCTCTAAAATACATTTAATATAATGAGCCTTACAAACAAAGACAATGTTGTTACCTGCTTTGTCAGCAGGGACCAGCACGTACTGATCATGTAATCTATCTAATTCTTTTTTTCACTTCTGGATTATTGAATACAGAAGGATAGATCGTTTTCATATTGCCTCTCAATCTTTTAATGCGTGATTTTAACATAATACTGTTACATCTAATACTGTTCAACGACTTAGAATGTAGAATTTCCTTCTTCACACGTCTCTGTAAACTAAATAATGAAAAATTATAATCACCATACGTTTAGTTTTAAACAAACGGTACTTGTTGCATTTGTGCAAGATATTTTGTCTTTTAAATGATAAAAGATTGATTGATATATTTGAAAACGCCATAAACTGTTGAGTATTAATTATTTTCAGATACGAAAAAGAGGCAATAAATTGAATATAGAATTAAAATACCATATTTTTTATTTTTCTTTTTTCACTTTCAAAATGATGTACACAATGATGTACATTCACATAGTAAAAAATCAGACCCTACTTCAGAAATTACGTGGCAGATGCATCATTTATAGCAAAGTGCGTAGGAATCAATTATATTTCTGTAATTGGAACTCTTCCATATTCATTAATAAAAGAATACTCGATTTGGGTTCTCTTTTTACATCAACATAAATATTCATGATATTCTCTGCAGAATAAATCTACACCTTCTTGAAGCGTATATAACAAACGTAATGTAATACTGTCTTATAGAAGAATTTCATTATTCTATTCTACTTTTGACTATTATTTTCTGTTTTCTTTTTCCAGATCAGAATGAACTGTTCCCTCCAGATAGAATACTGTTTGGGGCAAAACAACAATTGTAGCTACGAGGTTCTTCTAGCAATAAATGAGCAGTGTATCTCACCAGGAGAGAAGGGGGATCTTCTTACTTCCCAGACTGCATATAAACTAAAGGAAGGGCTGCTTTTATATATCTCTCCTGTCCTTCTCGTGTTTGGAGTTATTGGTAATCTACTTTCCTTCGCTGTGCTCAATCAACAGTCAAAGAAAATGTCAACATATTCCTATCTAAGTGCGTTAGCAATAATGGATATATCTGTTCTATTAGTCGGATTATTACGTTTATGGGTTGCCAAGATTACCGGAAGTGACGTACAACACGTTTCGGATGTGACCTGTAAGCTTGTCCAGTTTTTTGGTTACGTCTGTAGTGATTCTTCTGTATGGTTGATAATAACAGTGACAACTGAGCGCTACATAGCAGTTTGTTATCCTTTGAAAACGCAGGTATTTTGTAAAATTGAAAGAGCATGGAAAATGTCCCTTTTGCCTATTGTAGTGATTTGTGCCATAAACTGTCATTTCTTCTTCACTGTGTCTATCCAACAAAAGCTGGGTAAAGCTGAATGCGCGGCAGGACCCTCATATGAATTACTTGTTAACAATGTTTGGCCTTGGGTCGATGCCGTCATTTATTCTTTTCTCCCCTTTGTAATTATAGGAGTTCTTAACGGCTTCATAATCCGGAAAATATCACAAGCAGAGAAAGAACGAAAACGTTTTCTTCAGGTCAAACATCAAAGTGCGCGTGTTATAAGACGCTACAAATCCTCTGATAATAATAAGAAATTGACGACCATGCTGTTGTCGGTTTCCTTTACATTCCTTTTGACAACTATTCCCATGAACATTGCTTTGATTTTCACAGCGTTTTGGAATAAGCAGCCGGATAATGACGTTGAAGGAGCGGCCATTTTTCATCTGATCAAAACTATCACGGAACTGCTCATGTATGTCAACCATTCTATTAACTTTTTCCTTTACTGTGCCACAGGACAAAAATTCCGAAGATCACTCGTGAAATTATTCTGCAAAAAACGTTTTGCCAACTTCGGTAACGAAAGAACATTTTTTACATCAATTGAACAAGCACATAGTCCATGATAAAAATATAAAGAACACTTCCTACCATATCAGTTTCATAAAAGCACTTTTTGGATGATCCTTATTCTATATACATGTAATAGAACCTATGTCAGGAAAGAAAAAGAATAGTTTGATTTAATTATTAAAGAAAATCAATCATTTTCATATTCCCTGTAAAAGCTCAAGTTATCGGGTATATAAATTAAATTACCTTTTACTTATGGAATGAATGAGTTTTCTTGAACATAGGAATCAAGAAGCAAAATATGCAGAGTGTTGCATTTAAGAATAAATTGGATTTTATGCGAAGTTATGAAATAGGATTAGACATGTAAATATATGTAGTATTGGACATAGCAATGGACATTTGGACAACATGTAATGAAAATGAAATTTTCCTATGATAGGTTGAGGAATTTTTCTTTTTCGCCGACTGACTTTGTGATTTTGTCTTCATATGTTTATGAAATTGAAATCCTTCGCAAAGAAGAACGGTCATTACTATAGGAACAATTACATATTCACATTTTTCCAAGATGTTTGTGTTTTCCAACAATCTGTCGGAATTACAATGGGTACCAATAGCGCCCCGTTATTAGCAGACCTATTTTTTGTATTCATATGAAGTAAAATTTATGCACGAGAAGTAAACACTAGCTGTGGTCTTCAAATAGACATTTAGATATATCGACGACTTATTATCTATTAACAATAGTTACTTCCATTCATATGTCGACACGACATATCCCAGTGAACTAGAATTAAAAGATACCACTAGGTCGGACACAGTTGTTTCATATTTGGATATTTTACTAGAAAAAGACGTTAATGGTAACCTAACATCCAAGCTTTATGATAAAAGTGATGACTTCATCTTATCTAACGTCAACTTCCCTTACTTATATAGCAATTTACCCCTATCACCTGCATATGGGGTTAATGTCTCTTAGTTGATTAGACACGCAAGAGCATGAACAATTTATAAAACAAGACAAGCTATTGACAAACGAGTTGATGAAAGAGGAATATCGAAAGTCTCGTGTAAAGTCATCATTTTGCAAGTTCTATGATCGATACAATGATCTTGTCAGCAAATACAGTCTATCATTAAGTCAAATGCTGACTGACCTTTTTCATACTAATTGTTAGGCCATTATCAACACGCCGAATTTTTCTACGGATTTTTTCGTTTTTCCTCATCATGCCAGGTGTGACCAGTCGGGGGGATGCTCACTCCTCCATGGTACCTGATCCCACCTCCGATGTATTAGAGGTTCGTGTTTGCCCTGCTCCTGCTTTGTATTGTTTGAATGGACTTTTGAGCTTGAATACTGTTCGTTATCTCCATATTTCATGATAATAAAGATTCAATTAAATGGGACTTTTCCATATCAAATTATTATATACATATGCATTATGTATTAAATTTGAGTTCTTTATTTTGAAATCAACTTTTAATTCTTAAAGGTCCCCGAAGAATTTTGAATTCCAATCTCTTTACTTGAATATGATGTACATGTCTCTGGATGAAAATATATGCTAAAAATTTACTTTTTGTGCAGCTTTTTCCTTCATATTCTGCATCTTTGATATTTTTAGCCTGCTTGTGAAGCTATGTATTTTTATCATAACTAAACAATTTATCATTTAGGCAATTGAAATATTAAAGTAAACCCTGACATGTTTATTTTGCTTTCTTAATAAAATTGAGATTTGTGTTCGTTTAAATAGTATCACATACTTCGTTTCATTTGAACACCATTTTTTCGAAGTATAGATAAAAAATATAATGATAAGCTTTATTATAGATATATACCTATTAATATTAAATCAAAAATTGATAATTGTGCTTTAAAATAAACTTTTTTCAGGACTGTGTCGACTGATTACAATGAAAATCGGTGTATGAAAGTCACATGATTTGAATCTAATGTAATTTAAAACACAAAAGCGCAAAATGCTTGGATAATTATTGTAGGACTAAGGAGTAGACTTTTTCAAAGCTACGAATAAAAGAACTCTTACCTTGATTGTCTCCATTGAAAACAAACAAAAAAAAAACATGGACTTAGATGAAAACAATAGAAATGGTTTAGCTAGAGTGTTAGAAGATAAAGGAATGGGGTATCAAAACATGAAAGGATGGGGTAGTGAAAAGATTTTTTAAAAAAACGAGAGGGCATATATATTTCATTAACTCAATAAACCAGATAAAATAATAAAAAGACACGTTTAGCTTGTTTTCTTGCATGTTTGTACATGTATGCTTTATCAACTAAAAAAGTCGGAGTCACCCTAATCTTTCTCTCCCCTTGACCACAGCAGAGGGCAAATTTTACGTTGTCTTCCCACTTAGCCAAAAATTCTGAGGGTGGAAATAAACCAATTTTACCTGGCCATGGATTAAAACAATTATCGAACATATTTACGTTACTTTATCCACTATAGGTAAAGATGCAAGATAACAATATCAAAGGATTTTTACCTCTGTTACCAATCAAAAATTTAATCAAAAGAATATTGGTACTCGAAGAGAAGATGTAAAAAATAAAAAAATAAATAAAAATAGACTAGGATACTGGCAAAACCCTGAAAAAGCAGCGATGAAGAATGAGATGTAAATTGGATGTGTTCCCTTTAGGGAGTTATTAGCTCACCTAAGGCTCAAGTGAGTTTCTTTTCTATCAAAGAGTGTCTGTCTTTCGTGCGTCGCTTTGCACATTTTCACCTTCTACAGAATCAGGGCCAAATTCAATCAAACTTGCCGTAATTCATCCATGAGTTGGGTAGAGGGGATTATATATTGATTTTTCAAGAGCAGTAGGGTCTTGATTACTGATATTAAGACAAAATCATCCTCAGATAATGCCGATTCAAGTTAATTGTTCAAATTATTTGAAACAAAAAATAATTATGCGCCAGCTAGGATCACACATTATCCCATTTATATGAAAATATTCCAAAGTTCTTTGGATTCACGTTTTATTTTCAAATTATTGATCAGTTGGTTAGAGTAGGACTTGAATCAGGAAGCAATTTCCCCAAATTATATTTACCTTTTCTGCAGAATAACAAGGCTCTACCAGTCATTTTGAAGCATCCCCGGGTGTGTGGATTCAAGTTAGGTTTCGTTATGACCTCTTGGGGCTAGGATGGGGTATGATTTTTCATGTGAATAAAGAGAGAAAATATATTTTTTTTATCTTCTGAGATTATCAAAGTCAAGGTGGCTTGGGTAAGCGTTTTAGTCCAGGTGCCTTTTGTTTTAGTTTTTCTTTTTAAAGTTTTTTTAATAAGAAAGTAAATTCCTTACACTTTATTTAAAAGTATTCTCTCTCTCTGTGTGTCAGATTTTTTGTAACAAATGTAGAGTTCATAAATTGCAGCCTATGGGCAAAAGTGTGATTTTCTATCTTAGTGTTCTACAGGTATGATATCACAGTCACACAAACAATCCCCATCTAAACAGTTACACCGCTGTTACTAATAAATAATTCATATTTTCAAAGTATCCCAAACTGAGGAAAGGAACTTCCCACATATTTTTAATTTATTTGTTCGTGAAGTAGATTTTAATCATTTAATGTGGGAATGAAAAATTGATGGGGGGGGGTATAAACTCTTCAAAAATAAAAGTCATTTTTAGATTATTTGTTTACTCATGAAGATTGGATTCTTATTGCAATTCCACTTCCTTCGCAAATGCATCTCAAAATATTAGTCATCATAGGGATACTCTATTATGTTTATCTAACACTACAATAACAAATTTTTGTTTATGGATATATCAATGACCTTTGAAATTATGGTGATGTTCCACAATGCATCAAAATGAAGAAAAGAGTTAAAATTGGGGTAAATGCAGTGAATATATACAATGAACGACAAAAGAAAATTTCATCATAAATTTAGGCCACAATCAAAACGTAATGAAATGTACATTTATACGCCTAACGATGGATATTGGCAAAGCTAAAGAAAAAAACGGTGCTAAAGATGAAAGTTAGAAATTACCTTCGTTATACGATATGGGAGAAAGCAGATGCTAATTAAAGTTTACCTTGGATATAAAGTAAAGTACGAGAATATAACAACATATGATAACAAATATAAGAGGTCAGTTACATTAATTACCTTGTTATTAATGAGAAGACTTCACATAAATAGAACTTTTGTAAATATTCTCTTCTTTCTCCTCTGAAGATGACCATAGAGGGTGCAATGATACTGCAAAAAAAATCTGTTAAAATTTCATAGACGTCGGAAGCAAATTGAAAGGGGGGCTAAACCAACAAAAAAAATTTTAAGGAACTAAGCCCCAATCTTCATTGCATATATTATGTCTATCTTTGCATAAAAAAGTGGGGGGATCCCTCTTAGCCACCCCCCCCCCCGTTCCGAACAGGTATGTTTTGATTATCCATGATCATTATATAATACTTTTCTGATCGTTTGTAGTCAGTAACAAAGAATCTCAATGATCTACGGGTGCAAATAAATCCGAAAGCAGTGAATATATTGATGAATGAATGTGGAATGTTGAATGTACATGTATTCAGAGTTACAATTGCACATGAGATTCAAACTATGCGTATATTAAAAACCTTAGCATAATCGAGGAAATCTGCTGAATTTCTGTTGATTGAATCCCATACAGAACACTTCGAACAGTGTTAGTTACACTACCACAGAATCCAATTCTCCTAAAACAAAATGCAATAACTTTTGAAACAACAACCATAAAGTAAGTGAGTATCTGGAAAAGAGGTTTGTCTGCAAAGCTTACTTGGGTAGAGTTTGGGTAAGGATATCACAATGCATTCTTATCCATTTATATTGCCATACGAGAATAATCTTAGCCATATCATGAGAAAAATAACTACCAACTACACAGAAGGATTTGGATTCTGTACCGATAAGAGGACCATGAGCCATGATGTACAATTAACGACATCTTGGTCGGAGAACAATAAATCACTCACTACTGGAGATAATGTTAGTTCAGAAAGTTGTAAACAAATATCTGAATATTTAACAGAGGCAGGCTACTGACAAACAAGGATATTACGGGGATTTCAACAACCTCGTTCGGCATTTGGAAAATTCCA